TGGGTAAGTCCTAGAATTGCAAAGATTCAGAGGATGAAACTTAACCACTCTGAGGTATCTGATTGCGATGTTTCACCCGGAGTAAGCTAAAACTGAACTTATTGTCTGGACCATCTTCACCAGGGATCTCTCTTCCAGAGGCATATTTTTCAATTCTCCTCAATTACCTCACTTAGGTAGGTCTCACAACAAGCTGAAATACAAGCCTGAAACTCATCATTACTCTACTGTTTTCCTTTCATACCTTATATCTTGATATTTGTGTCTCCTGTATCTCTCTCTTAGCCAGCAGTAAGAGTCTGATATACCTAGATAAATTCTTATGTTGGACTTGTGATTCTTTTGGGCACATTACATTGAAGAAACCCAAAATGACAATGGTTGCAATTTCTTTTTCTTACCTTCCTTTGTATCTTTTATGAGCTTACTCTTGTCTTAAAACGTATTCATATTCCTGAACTAAGTGAAAATCAGGTTTCTAATGCTCTGGACAAATTCATAACAAGCCTCTGAACAGGAATATAGGAGGGAAGGTGGGAAGGAGAAGAAAAGCTGTTTATAAGATGAACACACCCACACCCCCAACCCCCAACAATTTACCAAAGAAGTACTACAATAATCTTTGCAAGCAACAGGGTCAGAAGTCTCAAACCCAGGAGCCTAATTCCACCTTCATTTTGCTATTGAACATAACAGGATTTTGGTAGAAGCCTTTTTTTTCCATTTAACATCATTCCACATCACCTTTTAAAACAACTCTCAAGCAGAACAAAAGTACATCAAAAACTATAGCAGTAATTTTCCCTCCTGTTGCAAGCCCTGTGCAAAATCAGAGCAGCACACTGAGCAATAAAAGCTCTGCTGTCAGATACTATGGAAGGGTGCCATGGGCAGCCCCACACTGATGCGCATCAGCCCCAGCAGCTTACAAAGAATCATCACCATTTGTAGTAGCTTTTCAAAATGTTATTGAGGTGTTCACTAAGTAGAGGAAGCTCTGACTTCCTCTACTTGCACCAGTAGCACCAGTTCTTGCACCACTCAGCACTTACACCAGTTCTCACAACAACAGTGCAGCATCCAAAAACTCCTTCATGTCCACTTACTTCAAGCTAGTACCAGGCCTTATGAATAATAGTTTTATATCCACCTTTTGGAAGTGTTGGATTTCTGGTGCGGGTGCTCTCTATGTCTCCCATGGAGAAAGGATTCACTGAACAGGCCAAATGTCCTTGCAGAGATTCCAACATACCTTCCTCTTCTTTCATTTTCTTCAGATCATCCTCTCCCACCAAGGAGACACGCTTGGGAGGTTTGTCCATCTGCTGCTGCTTCACCTCAATTTCAAAGTACTTCTGCCTCTCGCGGAAGGACCTCTGCTCAGGGCTGGGCAGGCCACTGGGGCTCTGCGTGGTCACCTATGAGAGCCACACCAGCACTGCCACAGTGACCAAGCAAAACCACTCCCAATCACCCCCAGTATGTGCCCGGTCCCTGCCATGTCCTCCTCAGCCTCCTCTTCCTCCTCCTCAGCCTTCCCCGAGCACACAAACTGTCATCCTGTCCCCTCAGCCACTGCCCCAAGCCTGTATCCTCTGCAACTCCCTATCCTCCCACCAGCTCCAGCCAGCAGAACTCACCTCCAGGGCAGCTTTGGGATTCTCTGTGCTGGTCTGACCAGGCAGTTCCTAAGGACACAGAGAAAGGGGCATGTTCTAACCAGAAAGTTTCCTACCACCACTCCTGCCCTCCAGCTAAGTGTCACCAATGCCACATGAACAGCAGCAGTCCAGACAAGATGGACTGTTTTACAAAACAGCCCCAGAATTAACACAAGACACTGACAATTTTGAGTTATAAGGATTTACATTAAATTAAGGGCTAAACAGAGTGGTTTTAAACTGATGGAGGGGAGACTGAGATGAGCTCTTAGGCAGAAGTTCTTCCCTGTGAGGGTGCTGAGGCACTGGCACAGGGTGCCCAGAGAAGCTGTGGCTGCCCCATCCCTGGCAGTGTTCAAGGCCAGGCTGGACACAGGAGCTTGCAGCAAGCTGCTCTAGTGGAAAGTGTCCCTGCCCGTAGCAGGAGGTTGGAAGTGGATGACTTTAAGGTCCCTCCAACACAAACCAATTTGGGATTCTGTGAAACAAGTGGCAACAACTTTTAAAAGAGCAAAAACTGAAAAACTTGGAGGAATAGGAGAAGAACAGGAGCAGAGAGCTCATCTTGAGATGGAGGAGGCTGAGACTTTAAATCAAAGATGCAACTATCAAAAATATACTTCTAAGAAGTGGAAAAATCTTCAGAAAAGAAAAAAAATATTTATTTACCAGAAGAAATGGTACCCCCCCAATCCACTGAAGGGGGACAAGAACCCTCAGAGGTGCCCAGGAAAAGGAGGAGAGAGACACAGATTGTGGTAAAAGAATTCTGACAAAACATAGAAAGAACACTCTTCACAGCAGAGATGGTCACACACTGGAAAAGACTGTCCACAGCGGCCTCAGAATCTCCATTCTTGGAAATTCAAGGCTCCAGTGGACTGGGCCTTTTGCCCTGTTTTGCACAGGGGACCTAAGCAGATGACCTCCAGATGCCTCATCTGTTCTGAATGGTTCCATGATTCAAACACATGGAGGGGAGAAGGAACAGTTCCAATTAAGTTAAAATGTAATGAAAAATTCCTCAGAACTGGTTTAGCCTGGCCCTGGACTCTGGAAGTTCAGAGAGTTTCTTTTTCTCAGAACAGCACAGCTATCCTACAGCATCCCAATGTCCAGGGAGAGTAACAGCAACACAAAGTTCAGTGACCTTTCAGGACTCAATATGTTTATGGACAGGACTCTGCAGGGTGACCATCCACAACAGGAACAGACTCCAACTCCCAAGAGGACCTCCACATGTCCTTCCTTCATGAGAGGAACCAGATCACTACCTCCTTCCTGTTCTCACACCTCCCTTGCTTACCTGCAGCACTCACGCACGTGTTTGTACCACTGCTGGTGTACAAACATCGTACAAACAGTTTGTACCGCTGCTGGTGTACAAATACTGTACAAACAGTTTGTACCACTGCTGGTGTACAAACACTGTACAAACAGTTTGTACCACTGCTGGTTTAACAGCCCCATGCAGCACTAGTTACCTGTGTCTCAAGCAGAGGGTGTGACAAGGGCACTGCTGCAAAGGTCTTGTATGCTTGCTTGACATTGAAGGGGATCTCATCTGGAGAAGGTGGTGAAGGTGGCTTCTGCTACAGGAACAAAGACAGAAGGTAAAGATGACCACAGGTATTATAAAAAAATAAATATAGGGGAAACGCAGCACAATCCTCAGCCTGCAAAGTCGGAGAAGTGGAGTATGTAAGAGACAGCTCCTGCAGAAACATGAGCAGCATATTGTGTACATGGTACATACAGCAGCACATGTATCACAGCCCTGATTTACTTCTTGGGTGGTGGAGGAACAACACTTTTGGTGGTACAGATCCTCAATGACTTGAACAGAACGTTGTGACTGATCTCTGGACCAAGGGGCCACATTGCTGTCACAGTCCTTGAGGATTTCCACCCAATTCAACTAGCATGTGCCTGGTGGAATCAGTGGCAGCTCACTCAGGGATCTATAATCTGGAGGAGACCTGCTTTTGATCTCAAATTTTCCCTTCACAGAATTCCACTTACTCAGAAGCATCTAATATGGTCCAAGAGGACCCTCCTGTTCCTTGTCTTTACTGGGTTTTTCCTCTCCTATCTTCCCTGTGATCTCTCCTATCATATTCAGGGAGGAAGAGTTGGGATGACCTTCTCAAAGCATCACAAAGATGAAAGGGAGTAGGGAGTAAATGACACCACCACCTTCGTTTCTATTAGAAAGGAAATCCCCTTTAGTTGCTTCATTTCTTCAATCCCTTTGGCTGCACTAACTCAGTTTCAGGTGTTTGTGATTTTTCTTTGTCCTGGACTGAGGCCAAATTATGTTGTTTGATGATGTTCCATTCTGCATAGGCTAAAGAACAGCACATCAAGATCAGAAGAGATTGTAAATATGTGAATCCTGGCCCGTTACATGGCTTGTACACAGCTGTTTGTCTGCAAATCAGGTCTCTTAATTTGGTCTTATGTCATACAAACTTCAATGAAAAGAGAAAGGCTGTACTGCAGGTATACAGTCTTCTGTCATGACAAAGACCAAAATACCTGAAACTTTCATCCATCAACATACAGCCCAGGGAATATGAATCTTTCAAAACCAATCATTTTGCAAATCATAAAACTTACTATCAGCAAGCTGGTCTCAGCTCCTGCTCTAAGATGCAAGACATGATAGACAAAGGTTCTGAAAGATTTATGCCTCAGCAGAAGGCAATACCTCATAAATAATGATCTAAATCTGTATCTGCTCTGGGGATTTCAGCCACAATAGAGTTTCAACTTCTTTGCTACAGTTTGCTAACTTCTTGAACAGGTAAGTGAAGACACAGACTGGTGAGGCTCATCCCTGTTAGAAAAATCATAGAATCATAGAACCATGGAATGGTTTGGGTTGGAAAGGACCTTAAAGCTCATCTAGTTCCAACCCCCTGCCACAGGCAGGGACACCTTCCACTAGACTAGGTTGCTCCAAGCCCCATCCTTGAACACTGACAGGGACGGGGTAGCCATGACACTCTACTTGTGACAAGTTCTTACCCAGGGCATCCAGAGTGATAGATAAACGGGACCAGCCTTAGCTAAGGCATGTCATCTTCAAATGACCAAGTCACCTACCCTCCAGGAGAAGTGGCACTTTAGCAACCTGGGGCAGATAGACACCGCTCAGCAAGGATGAACTCAGGCCACTTACAGAGTTCTGGATACTGAAGCACAGCTCAGGTTGTTGAAAGGGATTGGGGCTGTCCCCGTCCTCCGAATTATGCGAGGCAGCATTTTGTCGCACTCGGGAAAGAGGCTGAATGACGCCTGGCTTGGTCTGCTCGTGTCAGTGCCCCACAGCGGGGCAGAGCCAGAGGAGGAGAGCAGGAAAGAGAAGGAGAGGAAGGGGGAGAGAGAAATGAGCAGTTAGGGCAGCAAGATGTCTCTGCCATGCAAGTGAATAAGACAAATCCATGCAGCTGAGCTCAAGAGGGAGAGCTACTGAAGCAAACACCAACCAATGCCTCTGGTGCAAGTGTTCTGGACAGGGAACAGGGTCACAACAGGACTGGTGAGTCATAGAGAAGGCCAGGACACAAGGAAGAATCTGTCATGCAAGGAGTAGCTACAAGGGTCAGAGGGGTATGGCATGAGTATGTCAAAGCTTAGAGAATCTAAGTGTCATGAACGGAAAATGCAGTAGGGAAACATCAGCCAGGAATGGGTATTGGCAAAAGCTGGGGAGGAAAACAAACTGAGGCCCATCTAGGGCTCTAGTTGGAAATGCAGACATAAGAGCAGAGACAAGAGTCTGAGCTTTGACTAGATGTCATCACTGTTGGATGCCGTGTGGAAGTGAGGAGAATATCCAGTGCTAAAGAGAGTAAAAGCAGGAATTGACTAAGCCAGGAAAAAACACCAGTGAAAGCTGCAAGGGTAAACAGGAATAAAAGCTGCAAAAACACTCGCATCGAGTTTTCAAGTTGATGGTGTTTAAGATGTGGTGCATTTGTACAAACTTGAGGTATAGCAGAAAACTGAAGAAGACAGAATAGGAGCCAACAGTGAAGACTTGCAGGGCTGGAACTGAGCACACAAAGAAGAGACAAGCTCGATGTGCTGGAGGATGCACAGGGACACTACAAGAAGGTCTCATGATAGATGTACTTACAGATTTACTGTCATCCTGCGATGTAATGAAGTTAATGGAAGCCTGGAAACAGAAATACTGATGTAAATTTGGAGTCCACACAGGAAACCTTTTAGTTTACCCTGCTCCATACAAGCAGAAATACAAAACTCCCAACCCCTTCCCTGCCCCATAGAGGGAAAAGCCCCCAAGTCTCACACTAACCCCCACCATACCTCTTTCTTCAAATGGGGATCAGTCCAGAGCCCACCCACAACAGCTTCCTCTGCTATGTGAGAAGGCACAATAGCTCTGCACATCTTCAAGCACTGACCCCCACCTTCCCCTTCTCCGCTCCAGCTCCTGTCCACATCCCCTGCCCTCTGCACTTGCTACTGAGCTTGAGCAAAGCCACCAGGAAGCTTTCAGAGATGCTGCCAGGAAGCGTTCAGAGATGCCATCTCAGCCGTGGCCAGCAGGGAACAGCCTCCCAAGCCCCAGCGGCTTCCCCGGGTGCTGCTCCCTGCAGCGAGCACCAAGCCCGGGAGAGGAGAACGCGGCGCCGGGAAGGGCGACAGGCAGCGGTGCCGGGTGGGAGCAGCACGGAGCAGCAGAGCACACTGCACACCAGCAGCACTTACAAAGCGGGTCTCCCTGCCTGCCAGGTGAGCAGGCCGAGGGGCTGCAGGCGTCTGGAGAGGGGCAATGCCAGGGAGGATCGTCAGGGGAGAGACCGGGAGAGAAAATGAAGAGACGGGGATTTCCGCGTGAGACCGGCACCTTTCCCCGCACAGAACCGCGTTCCCGGAGCTGGCAGCGCCCCCACGCAGCTCCCTGACGTGGAGAAAGCCCCTCGGCCCTCCTCGGCTCTCACACACAGACCCGCCAGACACCCTCTTCCTCCCCTCGCCTGCTACTCCCCGACAGGAAGCTTCCAGAACTCAAGGCCAGGCAAGGCTGTCATGACACCAGCTTCCTTCAGTAACCCCACTTCCCTCAGGATCCCACAGATCTCTGAACTTTGCCTGTTAAGTTCTGGCTGGAGTACAAGGTGTCAAAACCAAAGAACTTACATTAAAAACAGATGGTGGCACAGAATTAGAGATGCAATTCCTTGGAACTTCTACTCCAGAACAACAGTCTGAAGTGCAAGTCTCCTGAATCCCCACCAGATGTACAAGCCCCTAGGCTGGCAATGGCCCTGTGTCCTTCAATGTTATCTGTTGGACCTGTTCCATTTTGTATAACATTCATTGTCCAGAGAGAACTAAATCCACCAGATACAGCTTTACCTGACACACAGGAGGCTGCTGCATAAGGCTCTGATCCAGAAAATACTAAATCAGGTAAATGTGACAGAAAGCTCATGTAGAGTGTGTGGGGCTGAGAATGCCACTGGCATGACTAAGGGCTCAGCACTGGACACCAAGGCTTCTTCAGGAACAACTGCCAGCGCCGCTAGTTCACAACAGCCATAAACCAATAAAAAAGGCTCTGCAAGTGACACACATACTCAGGAATGGAAGCAGGGAGCAAACCTGCTGATGGCCTCAGAGGGCTAAAACAAAGTCATGAAATTGGCTATTAGATCATTAAATACATTGCTCAAGCCACAAGGAATTCATGATACAAAACCCCTGAAGTTGGTCTGTTGGAACAAAGTACAGCAAGTGCTACATAACAGGGAATTAGAGACATCCAGCCTAAAATTGGAGAGGGCAATGCCTGCACCCACAAAAAATGGTCCTGGGTGCTCTTAACTCCATAGAATGCATCAGTGAGACCTTGTTTATTCTTCTTGGCGCCACAGAAGACAGAGTGAACTTGGGAAGTTTCCACTGTCAGAGCAGTGACTGCTGTGAGACAAAGCTGTCACTGCTGTCACAGGAACAGGATAATGACAAGCCATTGGACTCTAAAGACAATTTATCACTGGGCAAGCCCATCCCAGCTTAGAAGAGCAGATGGTTGCTAGGGGCAAGGACACTGGCACTGAGCCTTCAATGTCAAAACACTGATAAACAGAAACATTAGGGTACTAGGAGAGTTGCCTACAACAAATGAGAACAAGGAACATCCCATCCAAACACAAGTTAAAAAAAATCACAATGGAGCTGACACTCAGAAAGATGCAGAATTCCCATCTCCAGAGGTGTTCAAAACTGAACTGCACATGGCCTTGAGTAACCTCATCTAATTGGACCTGCTCAGACTGTGCTTTTAGACCAGACCTTTCTCCTGAATCATTCTATGAGCAGCTGCACGGCCACCCTTTGGGCAGCCCTCACATTTTCAAGTGAGGATCACATTTTCAAGAGCTGAGAATCTTTAATCACAGACTCAGGTTGGAAAAGACCTTTAAGATCATCAAGTTCAACCATTAACGTTGCACTGCCAAGGCCACCACTAAACCATATCCCTAAGTGCCACACAGACACATCTTTTAAACACTTCCAGGGACAGTGATGGCACCACTGCCCTGGGCAGCCT